AAAGAGAGATCCAATTTTAATATTCCCCTAATTTTTCAGCATAGTACTGTAATTGGGCAAGTAATCAAAGTAGTTACGAAAAATCACATATTAGCAGACTGTGAAGTTGTATAAATTGAATAATAAATTGCAAATAGAAATAATGTACTAACCCCAGAATAATATTCTGAGGCCAAAATGTCCAATCATTACCTACAATTTAACAGTCTTTGTAAGCAAGAAAATAAACAACTGGCAATGACTTGGGAAATCTTTTTGCTTACCTAAATATCCAGGAAAATAAGATGGCATAAATATTAGCTCTTAACCTTAAAATCACTAAATTCCATGAACTTAAAAATGAAATCATGAAAAGCTTCCACAATTACCAAAAAAAGAAATTCTTGTATGGCACTCAGTCCGATGATGAAAAGCCATGAGAGAAGTTAAAAGGGAGAGGATCGGGGAGAACCAACCATTACATGAAGATTCTAGAGCAGAGTTAAATTAATCAACACAGACTGTTTCAGCCATAATTACAAGTAGACGCTATCGACTTTAGCAAGTTTGAATAAAGTCCAAATCCAAGCTAAGAACGGTAGCGGAACCTGCCTTCTGCTTCATAAGAGGATGCAATGAGAGTGAATGGGTAATGAGATCTTTGGCTCTAGAGAGCTTAGCTTTCTTATTCAAGTTCATAATTAATTCAAAGCTTTGATAATTTCATTAGATTCCTCCTCTGCTGGCCCTATCAATAAAAGATGGCACTGGACCATAGCTCCTTGGTGGCCTAAACACACAAACACAGACTAGGAAACCTTGTCTTGCTTGCTTACTAACAGGGACAATGGCATATGGCAGCACATGTTATAGAGGGAGCATCTGAATAGACACAGCTAAATAAAACATTACAGCTGACATTTGTAAACTACAGCACCATATTTTAACACCTCTTCCTCACTGGCATGCCACTATTGAACACAGAAAGGAAGCATAAGTCCAAATGGCTTTTTCTGCCAGAAGTCACAGTGCTTGCTACTGATTCTTCAACAAGTCTAAATAAGTCATGCTTCTTCATCTAGGTTTTGAAATTGTGATTGATCTTGTGTATGAAAAGACATGTAGATTGCATATGTGCATTGCACATATATGCTTATACACCCAACAGATCCACTGACACTACATTATTGTAGATATCTTTTGCTTGCAACCTTTCTAATTCCTCTTATCACTATATTAAGAGCTAAGCTTCATTCATTCAGCATTTCTTGGAAATGTGTCCCTCTGACTGGATATATTTGATCTGGAAGCCCCCTTTCAATTTATTTAGCCACTGAACCTACTGAGGAGAATCAGCTTTCGGGGAGGAGTTTAAATGAACAAACAAACAAAAATAGCCTTCACAATATAAAGTAAATGTAAAAGGATTGTCAGATACGAAAGGAAGAAACAGCTGGGCACTGCTTCTGCATCAGAAGGCTGCGGGAAAACAGAAGGTCCGTCTCCACACACATGCAGCATATACACTGAAATGTTACCATCTTACTTTACAAAAAATGTGTATATTTAAAAAAAGTAATTACATTATCTTTCCCCAGAATCCATAGCCTGGCCCAGCCCTCAGTGGTGGGATCATGACCAAAAAAACCTGCCCAGCCCAAAATGTTAAGGCCCACTCCACTGCAGGACACATTGTAGCTAGAAATGAAACAGCCTCTCCTCACCTGGACAACTGCTACCTTGCAGAAGAGTCTACAATGCCACAGTAGCATGTGCAAGAGAAACAACCTTCAGGAGAATCCTGGAGCACTATTTCCATTCCAAAACCTCCAAGAGGACTCAAGGAAAACCTGCTCCCAATCCTGATCAAGTCCCCTGACCTGACTATTCATACCAGCCTGGAAAAAAGACACTCAACCCAAGAACCAAAAAGGAACATACTCCACAACAGAATTCCCAACACATAACCAAAGATGACGTGGCTCCCCAACCAACCACCCACTGCACAGGCAACTGTCACAACAGGACCTGCCTGCAACCATTTCTCTCATATGCTAGCTGCAAAAAACACCGACAGGCTGGCAAGCCACAAAGAAAGTCTCCATGAAGAGACAGAGGAGAAAGTACGGTAGGGAGAGATGGGAACTGAAAGATTTGGGGTAACAGGAAAAGAGTATGAAATCCATCTTTGTTTGGTTTTGTTTTAAAAGCTGTATTACCAAGGGAAAGAAATGAGGAAGACCTTGGTTAAAATTTTTGCAGCACCTCCCTATATAGGAAATATTTTGATGCTGTCTTGATTAAGAGTGATAATTTCAAATTCACCTAAAGGTAAGTGGGTTTTCTATTCTCATCAGCTTGCAATGGATGCTGGGTAAGTGCAGCATTCCTGGATTTAAGTTAACATACACTCTTCAGTGGTAGTCACTTTGACTAAGAATCCCTTACATAAACATGTAATAGACTCTGCACCTACAAGGTCCTGACTGATGCAAAGTATTCAGAAACTGACATATCTATAGTGATCAAAACGGCAGACACATGTATTTCCTATTCAATGATAAATACAGTGGATGTGCAACAAACTATTCCAACAGGGACTCATAATATTAAGATCAATTCTGTAGCAACCTCATATTCACAAATAATTTTGGAAAGCTCAAAGATTTGCTGTTCTCAATTTTTCATTTAAACTATACAGTTCTGGTAGGAAAAAAAAGTAAGGGTATGTCTACGGTACAGAGAAGATCGAAGCTGCTGCTGTCGATCTTCCAGAGTTTGAATTAGTGGGTCTAGATAAGACAACCAATTTGAACAGAGAGGGGAACTCAGATTGATGCCAGTAGTTATGCTTACACAAGGAATAAGTGAAGTCGAAGGAGGAGTATTCTCCCTTCAACTTCCTACAGTGTAGACAGCACCATAAATCAAGTTAAGCTACTTCGACTTCAGCTATGAAATTACCGTAGCTGAAGTTGTGTATTTTAATTCGACCTTGTCCCATAGCGTAGACATACCCTAATAGTTAATAAACCTACCCTAATAGTTAATAAACCATCTATTAACCACCTAGTGACAAAGTAGGATAAAAATGTTGAAACAATACACCAAATAAATCATTTGTGTTTGTTTAAAAGAAGGAAACCCCCAGGGAATATCAACTGAATGCAATTCAAACACAATTTTCTGAAACAACAGTTTCTAATGAGTCAAAGTATTCAGAGAAAAAAGGAGCATGACAATGCAGTAGTATGTAGATCTATTTTTATTCTTCGCCCTGTCAAACACTTCCTGCATGATCATGTGAAATTATTTCTCCTCAATTTCTCCTTCTCTAAGGCAGAAATCCCTCACAAGCTTGTTGTCAAAATTCATTCACTGTTTGAAAAGCATTTTAAAATTCTTAGATGCATGATGTAAATCAAGGTTAGTTTATTAGACACATGACACAAGAACAACATATTTACTGTCTTTTCAAATGCTTCTTAATTGTGACTGCAAAGCTGAAGAATGAAATAGTTTAAAATGTTGACATTAAATTGCTATCCTTTGGTTTCAGAATTCATAGCCCAAAGGAGATGCATGTTCACAGCTTTATTGGGCTATTGTTTTATCTTTGTAGATTAATGGAAAACAATACTGCACAAATTTATACTCTGTTGGGTTTTCAAAAAGTTGCTTTATCCTCAAAAGGACTAGAAGGATTTTTTTTTATAAGGAAGAGCTTTAATTTTTAGAGCACAGTTCTGCAGCAAGAGGTAAAGTTCACAGCAAACTCCAGAGATGCAGAATAATGAAATTCAAAGATCCCAAGTGGCCAATAACCAAGTGAGATTCAGTCCTAACAATCATACATGGGCACTAGGGACCTCACAATACAAAGTGCAAAATATCGTCCCAACTCCAAAGATCTCGCACCCTAATTTAAGACATAACACAATGAAGGAGGTAACCGAACAGTTGGGAGAAGTAGTGGGGGTACCAGCAGTAATATGTGGTTACTCAGCAAAAGCTGGAGCACACTATGTATGATTTACTGCTGTATTAACACAATGGATATTACTGACCTATTTATTACAGGCATTGCAGTAGAAGAGACTCTTAAGGAGAGATTTGAATAAGGTGAGCATTGTGGGTTGGAAGCCCAGCTCAAGAATAGAATTTTATCTATACATTGGGAGCAACTTGCAAAAAAGGCAAGGACATGGCAGTGCAAGAAGCAGATAAACAGGGCACCAAGACTTATGTGAATGGGCTGGCAATGTCCCTCTAACTTATCACTTAATCCCTTATTTAAAAATAAAACATGTTGAAACTCTGAGCTTTAGGATTACCAAAGCTTAACTCTTAAGCATTATTTCAACTAACAAAATGATACAATGTTGCAGAAAGCTGTTAGCCATAGACCTGTTCCTGCAAAAAAGAATATAAACATACTTGATATATTTAGCCTATTTGTTGCTGTTCATAACTATTCATCAGGATTCAGACAGAGAAAAATATATGTTCCAGTTCCAGGTTGTAGGTGCTAAATTGAATCAGGTGTCCTCTTCTCTTAAGAAAATTAAGTTGCTTTTGTGCAAGAGTGTTTTAATGAGAACAGAGCCTGCCGACATTGATAAATGGGAATGACACCAG